TCAAAAAGGTATTGGGATTCATTGGCATACTGACAGCACCCTGCTGCATGCCTCCAGATAATCTCTCTCAGTGGTTTCATATAAATGTTAACAAACATTGGTGATAGGATGGCACCTTGTGGTATGCAATATAAGTGCACCGACATCTGGAAACTACCTGAGAGGTAGGACCAGAACCAGTATGCCAGTAAGGTAATGCTTAAGATCCTGCAAGGAAGACTCCAGCAATACATGGAGCGAGAGTTGCCAGATGTACAAGCTGGGTTTAGAAAAGGCAGAGGAACGAGAGACCAAATTGCCAATATCCGCTGGATAATGGAGAAAGGCAGGGAGTTTCAGAAAAACATCTATTTCTGTTTTATTGACTATTCTAAAGCCTTTGACTATGTGGATCATAATCAATTGTGGCAAGTTCTTGGTGGGATGGGCATCCCAAGCCACCTTGTCTCTCTCCTGAGGAATCTGTATAAGGACCAAGTAGCAACAGTAAGAACTGACTGGAACAACAGACTGGTTCAAGATTGGGAAAGGCGTACGGCAGGGTTGTATACTCTCACCCAACCTATTCAACTTGTATGCAGAACACATCATGCGATGTGCGGGGCTTGACGAATGCAAGGCTGGAAGACACATTAACAACCTTAGGTATGCAGATGACACCACTTTGATGGCCAAAAGCGAGGAGGAGCTGAGGAGCCTTCTAATCAAGGCGAAAGAAGAAAGCGCAAAAGCTGGGTTGCAGTTAAGCATAAAAAAACCCCAAGATTATGGCAACAAGAATGACTGACAACTGGGAAATAGAGGGAGAAAACGTGGAGGCAGTGACAGACTTTGTATTTCTAGGTGCAAAGATTACTGCAGACGCAGACTGCAGCCAGGAAATCAGGAGACGCTTACTTCATGGGAGGAGAGCAATGTCCAATCTCGATAAAATAGTGAAGAGTAGAGACATCCATGGCAAGGAAGATCCGCATAGTTAAAAGCAATGGTATCCCCCGTAGTAACCTACGGATGTGAGAGCTGGATCATAGGGAAGGCTGAGCGAAGGAAGATAGATGTTTTTGAACTGTGGTGCTGGAGGAAAGTGCCGAGAGTGCCTTGGACAACGCCGGCTCTTTGGCTTAGAAATGGAGATGAGCACCACACCCCAGAGTCTGATACGACTGGACTTAATGTCAGTGGGAAACTTTACCTTTACTGTCATTAAAAACACCTGACACTGCCACATTCTGGCTTAATTCCATGGACATGTTTTCAGTAGTCTCAAACTTGGTTAAGGCTGCATTGTCTGCACAGGCCCTTGGAGAAAAGTCCATTGTACTTAGTGGGAATTACTTCTTTGTAAACATACACGAGACTAGGATGTGCCTCCTCTCTGTTGGACTGTGGCATGGAAAGTGGGGCCACGGGAAAGAGTGGCTATAATGCTCAAGGAGTTTAAGAGTGAGATTAGGCAGAAACTATCTGGATCTACTGCTGAATCTCTGGGTATTTGTTAGAGGTCAGGCCAGAGTTTCAGACTTCTAGTTGTTTAGCAATGGCAATAAATAAAAGGCTTATCCTTCTGCCATAGGTTGCTTTAAAAGTATGGTTGAGGGAAAACCCGGAGTGGAGTTTTGTATGAAAGGACTTGGGGGGTTGGTGGTTGCAATTGCAGCCTGATTCTTGTGCTCAGAAACATCCTGTTCTTAAATTCTACTAAAACAGTCACCTCTCTTAATCACTGGTTGGAGACAGTCAAATGTGATAGCAAACAAAACATGCAGATCTTTTTAGCAGTTCATAGAATCATAGAATCAAAGAGTTGGAAGAGACCTCATGGGCCATCCAGTCCAACCCCCTGCCAAGAAGCAGGAATATTGCATTCAAATCACCCCTGACAGATGGCCATCCAGCCTCTGTTTAAAAGCTTCCAAAGAAGGAGCCTCCACCACACTCCAGGGCAGAGAGTTCCACTGCTGAACGGCTCTCACAGTCAGGAAGTTTTCCCTCATGTTCAGATGGAATCTCCTCTCTTGTAGTTTGAAGCCATTGTTTCGCGTCCTAGTCTCCAGGAAGCAGAAAACAAGCTTGCTCCCTCCTCCCTGTGGCTTCCTCTCACATATTTATACATGGCTATCATATCTCCTCTCAGCCTTCTCTTCTTCAGGCTAAACATGCCCAGCTCCTTAAGCCGCTCCTCATAGGGCTTGTTCTCCAGACCCTTAGTCATTTTAGCCCTCCTCTGGACACATTCCAGCTTGTCAATATCTCTCTTGAATTGTGGTGCCCAGAATTGGACACAATATTCCAGGTGTGGTCTAACCAAAGCAGAATAGAAGGGTAGCATGACTTCCCTAGATCTAGACACTATGCTCCTATTGATGCAGGCCAAAATCCCATTGGCTTTTTTTGCCGCCACATCACATTGTTGGCTCATGTTTAACTTGTTGTCCACGAGGACTCCAAGATCTTTTTCACACGTACTGCTCTCAAGCCAGGCATCCCCCATTCTGTATCTTTGCATTTCGTTTTTCCTGCCAAAGTGGAGTATCTTGCGTTTGTCACTGTTGAACTTCATTTTGTTAGTTTTGGCCCATCTCTCTAATCTGTCAAGATCGTTTTGAATCCTGCTCCTGTCCTCTGGAGTATTGGCTATCCCTCCCAATTTGGTGTCGTCTGCAAACTTGATGATCATACCTCTGCAGCATCTCTTTTATGGTAGAAACCTTCCACATGTCATAATGTTGATCGAGTGAGGGAGGATTGTTGTGTTTCAGGGCTGCATTTCCTGTAGATGGGCTGGACTTCACAATCCCTCTTTCCTGCCATTGCTGTCTGAGGATGATGGAGGTTGCAGCCCAGCTCACCTGGAGAAACAATTTGATGGAAGCATAGCCAGTGTTTTCTGCTGTAATTGGTGGTAGTTCACCAAGGCCTTTCCTAGACATATTGTTCAGATCAGGGGTCCTCAAACTTTTTAAATAAAGGGCCAGGTCACAGTCCCTCAAACAGTTGGAAGCCCGGATTATAATCTGATAAAAACATGAATTAATTCCTATGCACACTGCACATATCTTATTTGTTGTGCAAAAAAAACAAAACAACAACAACGCTTAAATGCAATACAATAAAGAACAATTTTAACAAATATAAACTTATTCTTATTTCAATGGGAAGTGTGGGCCTGCTTTTGGCTGATGATGAGATAGGATTGTTGTTATTGTTGTTGTGTGCTTTCAAGTCATTTCAGACTTAGGTTGACCCTGAGCGAGGGTCGGGTAAATGACCTTGGAGGGCCGTATCTGGCCCCCGGGCCTTAGTTTGAGGACCCCTGGTTCAGATAATTTGAACTGGAGTGGACAGCAATGCAAAGCTCCAAGAAAAAGGTTGGGAACAAAATCAACCTCTCTACATGGCATTCATTGACCTTGCAAAGGCATTCAACACAGTGAATCGCAGCGCTCGCTGGACCCATCCTCCAAAAAATCGGGTACCCTAACAAATTTGTGAACATCCTGCGGCTCCTCCATGATGACATGATGGCAACAGTCTTGGACAGCAGTGGCTCCCAAAGTGACCCATTTACGGTGGAATCAGGTGTCAAACAGGGATGTGTTATTATCCCATTTTGTGTATTATTCTTTTTTTATTGATTTTATTTATAAATTTGTCCAACAAAATGTATAAGCATACATTCTTCTCTCTTTTTACAGTATCTTAGACAAAAGAGTGTGTCATATTATATACAATCTAACAGTAGATAAACATCAAAAACATCTTTAATCATATTTCTTATCATTATTTTTAAATTTCCCTTACAACTTGTGCTACATGTAACTCTTATCACACACCTTTTATCCAGTTATACATATTGTATTTCTTTATAATTATTATTATACCATTTTCTCCCTCTTCCCCTTACCCTTAGTTTGTGCCCCCTCCACCAGGACCAACCAACTCATGTTGTTTCACCATTCCAAAATATCATTGTTTCTCTTGCTGGCTTATACCCCTTTCCCTCATTAAACACATACTCGATAAATTTCCCCCATATTTTCCAAAAGTCTGTTTGTTTACATATTCCCCTTTTAATTTTAATATTGCAAGTCAGCTTATCATTAATCGCTATATTCCAAATTTCCCTATACCATGCTTCTAATTGAATTTCTTTTTTTTCTTTCCAGTTTTTTGCTATTAACAATTTAGCTGCTGTTATCAAATTAGAAACCGATTCTTTCTCCTCTTGTAAGTGAATTATATTATCATGCATAAGTAATAATGCTAATGTATAAGTAATAATGCGAATACCACCTATCACACCCAGCACTTTTTAATATGTACCCATCACATTTGCCCCCCCCAGTTTTATTGTGTCGTGGTGTATTGTTTTATTGTTTACTGCTATTGTTTTATTGTTTAATTTGCTTTAAGTTATGTGTTTGTTATGCTGTTGTTGTATTGAGGCCTTGGCCTGTGTAAGCCGCATCGAGTCCTTCGGGAGATGCTAGCTGGATATAAATAAAGTTAATAAAATAATAATAATAATAATAATAATTTTGGTGTAATCTCAGTCTCTATTTTTATTATTGCTCTTATTTCTTTGAATATGCTTTCCCAAAATTTTTGTATAATGTTACATGACTTGTGTATTATTTTAAATAATTATAATTAAAATTATAATAATAATGTCAGTATTGAAAAGTGGACGACAGATCCCAAATGTAGACTCTGCAAAGGAATCAGATGAAACAATAGGTAGTCACTACCTCTGAGGATGCTTGCCATAGATGCAGGCGAATCGTCAGGGGAGAGTGCCTCTAGAACATGGCCATATAACCTGAAAAAACCTACAACAACCCAAATATAACTAAGTCTTCTTTTCTGACCTGTAAGAATACTTACCTCCCATTCAGTGTTGATGCAGAGAAGATTATGTTAAACCATGTAAATAATATGATAATTCATGCAGAATTTTCAACTCTTATTTGTTTATTTATTTGTATTTATTTCTGTTTCAGCTTTGTACTATACAGAGAATACCGAGGTAACTATGCAGGCTTCTGCTGAAGTAAACAACCCTTGCAGGAATGCATGATCTTTGATTCCACTCCGAGTTGCACATCTGCTGCTTGACAGAGATGGTTCGCGATGCCAGATCGTCGCGATTAGTAAAGAAACAGGAGATAAGCAAAAAGAAACCAAGCCTAGTCCAAAGTAAATCTTGCCAAGTAACAAAAGATGCCAAGAAAACTTCCCCTGAGTCAAACTGTTCTGCAAACTGTAAAAGGTTACTGGCAGAAAAGAACGAGGGCAAGAAAAAGTCACAAGAACATAAACCTCCAATGAACTCACCACCATGCCGATTTCTCCGCAGCAGCGTCACCAAAACGTTAGCTGGAAAATCTTGGAGGAACCTGAAATTAAGTGATAGCGTTCTCTTTCATAGCCAACCTCCTTTGAACTTTACCATGAATCTTCGCAACAAGCCATTTCCCCATAGGCTGTTTGAAACGGCGGCAATCATGACAGCTAAGAGACGCACTGGCCTGGTAAAAAGTTCAGGGAAAAGAGAAAAGTCTGAGTTAGGAACATCCCGTAAAATAGAAAGGAAAAGAGTAGAAGAAAGAGCCCAGGATTTCAAACAAGATTGCAACCGAAATGTTGAATCGCAGATTACCAAAGCAGGCAATGCCTCGCGTGATATGGAACCAGACCATCCCTCTGAATGTGACAGTGAAGCCCAGAAGAGAGCGCCGTCTCCTGAAAACTGTATTTCTCTTTCTTGTGCAGATGTACCGAGTGTCTCTACTCCAAAGACACTGCAGGAGGATGGCAAGTGTAAAGAAACTGTGCCTACTGAGCAGGCCCTGGAAGATTTATCTACCAATGTCTCACGTGTAGCTTTGGCTGAGCTCGTTTCTACTCACCTACACCTTGACTCTGCCAATGCTTTAAAGGGATGTGAAAATGAGTTGGGAACACTTGTGAAACCAGGCCTGGAGAATAATTTTAATTCATCTCCACCTTCCAAAGAACATGAAGGTTCCAAAGAACATGAAGGCTCCAAAGTCCTACCATTGCTTGACTCCACGTTGCAACTTTCTTCTGAAACAAACACAAAGGTGCCTGAGAAAAGGCCAGCGTCTCTTACAGAAAGTCACTCCAATGCTGCCTGTGGTTCGGTGCTAACTCCTTGTGAACCGGATGCTATCATTTTGATTACCTCAGAATTAATCTCAAAATTGCATTTAGATGACACGTGTGCCTTATCAGAGTCCCACTGTGAGCCTGCCAGTAGAAGAGAATCTGATTTGCTGCGTATCCCAGAACAGGAAGATTCTCCAAAAGATCCAGGCCTTGGTGTGACATCTTCTTTGCCAAATGACTCAGAATTCAAACTAGGCGACAAAGCACTTGACTTGTCAACTTCCCAAAAGGATCATTCAGGTCGCAATCACATTAATAAAGCATCCACTTGCAAACCTGTTTCAAATAACGTTTTTACTCATGGTATCTTGGAAGACCTTGAACAGACCCTTGAGAGGATTGCTGTTGAAACATTGAATTTAGATTCAGCTACTGTCCCTGTTCTATCACTTCAGCCAGAAAATAGGACATCTGATTCCATTTCAGTGAATGACAATAGCTTTAAGGACATTTCCCAAAAATCCTCAAAAGATTCTAACTTGAAGTTGCCATCTGAGGCTGCAGGGAGTCCAGAAACAAGGCTTGCGGCAGATGGATCCTGTACAAACCTTCAGTGTCCCTCTCTGGGACTGGGAAGTGCTGAAAAAGACACAATCTCTGTTCAGGGCACCACAAAATGCAGCACAAATCCCAGTACAACTTCTGAACTAACCTCCTGGGGAAATCCAACAAGTGCCTTTCCTATCCTGTTTCCCGCCATGCAACCTGTAGGGAAGAAAAAGCGAAGGCAATGTGGAGTATGCGAGCCATGTTTGCGGAAAACTAACTGTGAAGAATGCAGCTGCTGCAGAAAGCGCAAAACAAGCCACCGGATCTGTAAAAAGAGAAAATGTGAAGAACTGAAGAAGCCTCCCCCACCTCTGCCACCATTAATGTTACCCTTACAGGTAAGGAAATTTATATTAATTTGTAATATTTCTAACATTGGTTATGATGCCAGTAATCTGTTGAAAATAATTGTGAAAGATGAAGTGTTACTGCAGTTTCTGGCCACAATCCATCATTGTGTTACTGCACTTTAGCCCCACTGGTGTCTATTGAGGGGAATGTATTGACCTATAAAATTGCACAAGTACACAGATTTGGACGACTGGTTAAGTTTAATGTGCTGTATAATTGTAGAGCACGAGTCAAAACAAAAACAGAGGTACTCATGTTGGAGAGTGGTCCCTGGTCAAGCAGTCCCTGTTCAAGAAAAGGTTGGGAACCACTGTTCTAGTTGGATGTTTTGCTTCTGTGGTCTGAAATGCCTCCAGAACATTTTGGATGGTGAATAGTATTGCTTTGATGGTTGCTGCTTACCAGGGATGTTCCTATATGTGGGAAGATGTTTATTTTATTTATTTATTTATTTATTTATTTATTTATTTATTTATTTATTTATTATTCGAACTTATATGCCGCCACTCCCCTGGGGCTCGGAGCGGCTTACAAGAACGGCTAAAATCTAACACAATTTAAAAACAATTTAAAACAATTTAAAAACAGCAATATCAAAAATCAAAGGCCTGTCGAAACAGATATGTCTTACATGCCCTGCGGAAAGCTGATAAGTCCCACAAGGCACAGACTTCAGGTGGCAGAGTATTCCAGAGTGATGGTGCCACTGCTGTGAAGGCTCTGCGTCTGGTTGCTGTTAGACGCAAGGTCTTGACACTGGGAATTTCCAATAGATCTTGGTCCTCAGAACGGAGGGATCTCTGGGAGTTGGTAGGGGGTGAGGCGGTCCCTCAGGTACATCGGCCCCAGACCATGCAAGGCCTTAAAGGTGAGTACCATCACTTTGAAAGTGATCCGGTGCTCAATTGGTAACCAATGCAGCTGTAGTAAGATTGGTGTTATGTGGCATCTCATCGGAATTCCCGCAAGAAGCCGAGCAGCTGCATTTTGTACCAACTTGAGCTTCCGGATCACCGACAAAGGAAGGCCAATGTAGAGGGCGTTACAGTAGTCCAGTCTTGAGATGACCGTAGTCTGGATCACCGTAGCTAGGTTGTCCCTGGACAGGTAGGGGGGCAGCCGTCTGGCCTGCCGCAGATGAAAAAAGGCGGTTCTGCTAACGGCGGAGACCTGGGTCTCCATCGTCAGCAGAGGGTCCAAAAGAACTCCCAGATGCTTTACCAATGATGACGGGCGTAACGCCTCGCCATCCAGGATAGGCAGCTGGATATCCCCACTGCCCGGTTGATCCAGCCATAGGATCTCCGTCTTTGCTGGATTCACCATGTGGGGACATGAGATAAGCCTCCCACAAGGATGGTGAAACATCAAGACATACGGGTGTCCCCTGGGAAAGGTCCTTGCAGACAGCCAATTCTCTCACACCAGAAGTGACTTACAGTTTCTCAAAAAGGAAAAAAAAAACAATAGCCACAGTTTACTTGCCTTCCATTGTTAGACCCTTAAATTTTCTCTTTACAACTCTACTAAAGACACATTGCTGTGTTGATTTATTTGGAGCAAAGATCATGCAGGGTCAGCAGTTGTGAAAACAACCCAATGTAAGGAATAAGGGTATGACTAATCCTGTTGACCTTACACTCACATATACCTCCCCCAGCATCAAGGTTGGCTCAAATTCTTGTCTACTACAAACAACCAACATTGTGAATCACCTCCAAGCCTGCACCAAAGTTTTACAATTGATTTGTAATGTTTTGTGAGAGCCCCAAAACTGAGATCCAGATACCCCAATGCAGGTTTGAAAGTAAATGTTGACTATGAAGGAAAAACGAAATGCAAAGATACAGAATGGGGGACAATGCCTGGCTCGAGAGCAGTACGTGTGAAAAAGGTCTTGGAGTCCTTGTGGACAACAAGTTAAACATGAGCCAACAATGTGATGTGGCGGCAAAAAAAGCCAATGGGATTTTGGCCTGCATCAATAGGAGCATAGTGTCTAGATCTAGGGAAGTAATGCTACCCCTCTATTCCGCTTTGGTTAGACCACACCTGGAATAGTGTCCAATTCTGGGCACCACAATTCAAGAGAGATATTGACAAGCTGGAATGTATCCAGAGAAAGAGGGCGACTCAAATGATCAAGGGTCTGGAGAACAAGCCCTATGAGGAGCGGCTTAAGGAGCTGGGCATGTTTAGCCTGAAGAAGAGAAGGCTGAGAGGAGATATGATAGCCATGTATAAATATGTGAGAGGAAGCCACAGGGAGGAGGGAGCAAGCTTGTTTTCTGCTTCCCTGGAGACTAGGACGCGAAACAATGGCTTCAAACTACAAGAAAGGAGATTCCATCTGAACATGAGGAAGAACTTCCTGACTGTGAAAGCTGTTCAGCGGTGGAACTCTCTGCCCTGGAGTGTGGTAGAGGCTCCTTCTTTGGAAGCTTTTAAACAGAGGCTGGATGGCCATCTGTCAGGGGTGATTTGAATGCAATATTCCTGCTTCTTGGCAAGGGGTTGGACTGGATGGCCCATGAGGTCTCTTCCAACTCTTTGATTCTATGATTCTACTGTACTATATATATTCTATGCCAGTTGATGCGGCCCTCCAAGGTCATTTACCTGGCCCTCGCTCAGAGTCAACCTAAGTCTGAAACAACTTGAAAGCACACAACAACAACAATCCTATCTCATCAGCCAAAAGCAGGCCCACACTTCCCATTGAAATACTAATAAGTTTATATTTGTTAAAATTGTTCTTCATTTTAATTATTGTATTGTTTTAAAGTGTTTTTTTGCACTACAAATAAGATATGTGTAGTGTGCATAGGAATTCATTCTTGTTTTGTTTTTTTCAAATTATAATCCTGCCCTCCAACAGTTTACAGGTCTGTGACCTGGCCCTCTGTTTAAAAAGTTTGGGGACCCCTGCTCTAGAACATGGCCTTATAGCCCCCAGGCTGAGAACAGCGGTATATAAGCAAAGTAAATAAATAAATAAATAAATAGCCCGAAAAAACCTACAACAACCCAGTGATTCCGGCCATGAAAGCCTTCGACAATACATTGTTTATTTTAATTTAAAAAAAAATAATTAGCGAACAGATATTTGCCAAGATCACAAGAAAAGAATGGCAGGAGTTGAGTCAGGAAGCGATTAATGCAAGGAGTTTTTTTAAAAAAAGGTTTCAGCATCGGCCAGTTCAAGAAAAGGATAAATGCTAGCTTTTCTGTCAATCTTTTTTTCAATCCAAACATGCTCTCCTTGATATCGCCTGACCTTCCTATTGTCTTGCGGCTTTGCTTCTTCACCCTTTTCTTTAAGCCGCCTTTCTGCCTTTTTAATGAGCTACCCCCTATTCTTTAACTCCTTTTTGGCTGTCAGTTCCATTTTTCTGGGCCCTTATATACGGGAGAAATTGTGTGTATTTTGCCCCTTGAACATAATGCTCTTGAATTTATGAATCTGCCCCTGTCCCTTCCCATTTCTGTTGATGGCAAACACCTTTTCATCTTGAGAAATACAGGCAGTTGTGTCAGCAGAGTTACTGCCGCGGCTTGGTGCAAACAGATGGAGGGATTTCTTATACACTAGAGTAAAATGTCTCTCTCCCAAGTTAAATAAAGATGCTCTCCTGCTTCTAATGGGGGAAAGGAGAGAAACTGAAGATGGGATTTGCAATACAAATATATGGCCAGCTTCTTTTGCATCCCAGGAGAGACAAGCAGGAGGACTGAGATGATACTTTTACTCGTGCCAAAATCACAAACATTCTCATTTGTATCTAATTTTATTTGTTTACATCAGCATACAGGTACTGAATTGACTATTTGGTTATATATGTAATTTCAGAACTTGTCATATTTTTTGTAGTATGTTTTATATTCCAAAGACTAGGTGTATCCGCCACGTGTTGCTGTGGCCAATCTTTCCTCCCTCTTTCTCTCCTTCCCTCTTTTTTTTCCTTCTTCTTTCTTTCTTCCTTCTCTACCTTTTCCTTTCCTCGTTTCCTTTGCTCTGGTTCCATCCTTCCTTGGCTATTTCTCTTCCTTCCCTCCCTCTTTCGTTCCTTCTTTCCTTTCTTCCCTCTCTTTCTTTCCTTCCTTTCACTTTTTTATTTCCTTCTCTCCTTCCTTCCTTCTCTACCTTTCTTTCTTTCCTTCTTTCTTTCTTTCCACATATATACACACATATTTGCATATATACACACACAACACACATATACACAGAAAGGAGGAAGGAAAGAAGGAGCTTATCTCCTTCTTTCCTTCCTCCTTTCTGTGTATATGTGTTTTGTGTGTGTATATATGCATATATGAGTGTATATATGTGGTTTTCCACATGCGTTGTAATGTATTTTTTGTTTTTTGGCTTTTATAGTCTTATCTGCTGTTTTTTAAAATGTTTTTATGAGTGATGGTCACTTGTTGGCCTGATAAGTATGTTGTATCCAAATTTGGTGTCAATTCATCCAGTGGTTTTTGAGTTATGTTAATCCCACAAACGAAGATTACATTTTTATTTATATAGATGTAGTTTTTATAGAGCTTGTACATGCAAGGGGGGAAATCCCGAGCCTTTTGTTGAGCAGCTGTGATAGATCAGATTTAATAGATGAATCTTATTCTTATTTTCTCAGAAATAAGTACCATTGTTTATACTGTGAACTTTCTTTTGGTAAATGTGCACAGGACTGTATTCCAAGGCTGCAACTATCTGCATGTTTTCTTGATAAATTTCACTTGAAGAAAGTAGGCCAAACATATGGGTAAATATGCAAACAATTGAGTTCAACAATTTTTCAGATTTTGCCACAAAACCCTGGCTATGAGTAGAAAAGGACTTAAAATGCTTACATAATTTACCACAATATGATTATGTGGGTCTACATAAGGCTGTAACCCTACATCTTGGTCTGCCTTCCGACTGACCAGGACTACCTCTGTTTTATCTGGATTTACTTTCAACTGATTGGCCCTCATCCAGTCC